CAAATAAATCAGTAAAATGGATGTACAAGCAGAATTCAGGCCCTGGCACAAAGCCAAAGCCAAACGGACGAACAACAAGAACTTTCCACAGGAGCTTACAGCCCGTGAATAAAAATGAGGAAGATTAATCCCCTTTTACGTCATAATTAAGGTGCATCAACTGAAAGTAAAATTGCTTAATAAAACCAAAACAGCCAACAGATGTTGGGATTTGGTTCTGTAACATCCTGTATAGGAAATGCAACTAACTTTTTAATAACTCCTTTAGGCTCAGGACGTTGATATAATTTAGCAGTCTATGTCTGCGTGAGTTTATATAGTTTAGCAGTGTCTATGTCTGTGTCAGTTTATATAATTTAGCAGTGTCTGTGTCAGTTTATATAATTTAGCAGTGTCTGTGTGAGTTTATATGGTTTAGCAGTGTCTATGTCTGTGTCAGTTTATATAATTTAGCAGTGTCTGTGTGAGTTTATATAGTTTAGCAGTGTCTGTGTGAGTTTATATAGTTTAGCAGTGTCTATGTCTGTGTCAGTTTATATAATTTAGCAGTGTCTGTGTCAGTTTATATAATTTAGCAGTGTCTGTGTGAGTTTATATAGTTTAGCAGTGTCTATGTCTGTGTCAGTTTATATAATTTAGCAGTGTCTGTGTGAGTTTATATAGTTTAGCAGTGTCTATGTCTGTGTGAGTTTATATAATTTAGCAGTATCTATGTCTGTGTGAGTTTAAATAATTTAGCAGTGTCTATGTCTGTGTGAGTTTATATAATTTAGCAGTATCTATGTCTGTGTGAGTTTAAATAATTTAGCAGTGTCTATGTCTGTGTGAATTTATATAGTTTAGCAGTGTCTATGTTTGTGTGAGTTTATATAGTTTAGCAGTGTCTATGTTTGTGTGAGTTTATATAGTTTAGCAGTGTCTATGTTTGTGTGAGTTTATATAGTTTAGCAGTGTCTATGTTTGTGTGAGTTTATATAGTTTAGCAGTGTCTATGTTTGTGTGAGTTTATATAGTTTAGCAGTGTCTATGTTTGTGTGAGTTTATATAGTTTAGCAGTGTCTATGTTTGTGTGAGTTTATATAGTTTAGCAGTGTCTATGTTTGTGTGAGTTTATATAGTTTAGCAGTGTCTATGTTTGTGTGAGTTTATATTGTTTAGCAGTGTCTATGACTGTGTGAGTTTATATAGTTTAGCAGTTTATATAGTTTAGCAGTGTCTATGTTTATGTGAGCTTATATAATTTAGCAGTGCCTATGTTTGTATGAGTTTAGATAATTTAGAGGTGTCTATGTTTGTGTGTTTCAGAGCAACAATATTTGTTTTTTTTTAACTTTCATACAACTGTTGGACAGAAATCATTATTGCAGCAACTGAAATACAAAGGCTTAACATAACAGAAAGAATGGGATAGGAAGAAATAAAGAAATGTGTACGAAGAGAAAGTATGAAAGTACGGTGAATTCCCTGGCACAGAAAAAGTTCAGCAGCATACGGTCACCGGCTGTAACTTTAGGGGAAAATTCTGGTCGTTTGTCAACCTCTGGACTTTAATCTTGTGCCATAAACTGAGTTTAGCGTGCACATCCGTTTTATAATCTAACTTATTTATATGCGGACTGTTGGTTCCTTGCCTCTCAGGCAAATGTTCTTTAACTTCTAAAGAAGCCCCCAATTAGTCAGCTCTTACAACATGCTTGTTGAGGCGCAGTGGGTCTTTTCTTGTTCCCCCCCCCCCCCTCCCCATACAATGAGGAGCGCCCAAAACCCATAGGGGAAAATACTAACAAAGTAAGTAAAGGACCCTTTTCCACGCTATTCAGGCGTACTGGGCATATACTACTAGACCTATATTTTGTAGACCAATAAGCATTCTGTGGGTGATGTGGTTAATATCATGCCATGATATCTGGCATCCATTTGAGGCTGAGTCTACCTGGGAGCCAAGGTCATTTCTGAAAAAAGAAGTCAGACTCCGACTAGCCCCTACATCACGACAGCTCCACAGACTGCAGTATAATAATTAGTTAAAACAGACAGACACAAAGACTCACGTTTCTTGTGCTTCGCTGAGACCACCTCAGACTCTGAGTATTTTCCCTGTTAAACAGAAGTTTAACATATTCATTACAAAATTCGTTCTCTATTTCTTTTCTTTTCGTAGATTAAGAATAAAATGATCTTTTAAACAATCTAGATATTTTGTAATAATAATATTTCCCCATCTCTTCTTTTTTCTTCTGCCAGTTCTTCTGCTTCTCCATCTTCTTCTTCCTCTCTTGTTTTCGTTTTCTTCACCCTCTATTTTCTTATTCTTCTGCCGCCTTTTCTTGGATAAATTCTTTTGTTTTTTCTTAATTTTTCTTCCTCATCTTCTTTTTTTTTTCTTCTTTCTACTCTTTTTTCTTTTGCTTGTTTCAATTTCCATTCTTCTTCCAATTCCACTGTTTCTAGCCATATAATTCAGGATTTCTTTTATGAATAATTTGATTAATTAATTTGATAACTCTTTAAATGTCAGATTCTCCCCCCACCCCCTAGTATATTTTCTGAGTTCACATCCTCAAAGAAAGAAAGCACCCAGACTAAAATATAAAAGAAATGAAGAAAAATCCTGCTTACGCTGAATGAGCTGGATATCCCTCGCTGGTTGGAGTCGAAAGATCTGGCACGGTATTTCCGCCTCATGGCCCTGAAACCATCTATTACCTAGATACACAAAAATTAAGTCAGTCTAAACTAGGACCAGGTTGTGCATGTTCTAAACTATGGCGATCTAGTCGACGCTCAGCACCCAAGGGAAAGGCACAAGAGATTTTCAATCAGACAACTACTGTTGCCATCAGTACTGGAACTCTTCGTTTGTTGCTAAACATGGGGACGGAGGGCTTATGGTGTGTCCCAAGTGCGGTGATGTTGATTCCTAATTCAACATTCAACTATGGCATTACATTCTGGCAAGGACAGCTCTCAGGTAGATAACAGATGGGGTAAAAACGAGACGTGTGCGACCTAAGGAAACCTGGTGAAGGAATGCAGAAAGGGAAATGAAGGTGTGTAAACTGACATGGGATACCACAGAAAGAAAAGCTGCAGACTCTCAGCAATAGAGATCTCTTGTGAATGTCTTTTTTTTTTTTTTTTTTACGGGGATTCCACATTGTGACCCGGGGAGGAGGGGACAGTAAAAGCTTCTTTTACTACTACTTCTTCGAGTTCACCGGCTATAATATATACAAATTTTGGTTTTTTCGTCCACTTCTGGACTGGTCTCTTTTCAGAATCTGAGTGCTACGTACACATTCATTTTTTAGATCTTATTTTTCTGTATGCATACTGTTGATTTCTTGCTCCTCTCGCAGATGTACTCTGACTTCGAAGGAAGCCTTCCAATTAGTGGACTCTAAAACATGACCTGGAACCCACAGGGGAAGTTCTGTTTCACAGCAGAAAAGACCTCCTCAGATGATGATTACAAATCCAGACAATGTTTCATTCCATAGATGTTGATCACACAGAAAAAAAAAAATGAGCTTTGAGATTTACAAAAATCTGCACCTATTTTTACAATGCCTACTTTCTTTGACACTCAAGGAGCAGGTAGATGCGTACACACACAGAGAGAGAGAGAGAGAGAGAGAGAGAGAGAGAAAGAGAGAGAGAGTGAGAGAGAGAGAGAGAAAGGGAAAGAGAGATAGAGAGAGAGAGCACAATACTGGTACAAACTTACCTGTGGGGTTAAAACACAGTAGCAGATGAAGAATATAAATAATCCCTGAAATGGAGAAATAAAATCAAGTTACACCACAACTGAAAGCTGCATGTTTAGTTTGTACTTAATGAATAATGAATGCTGAACTAAGAATCGACTTCATAGCACTCGTGACACTCCCATAAGCGCTCCGTCCCCCGTCACCAGCAAGCAAAGATTCAACGGAATGTATTTAATAGAGTATGCAAAGCAAGGAAAGATACCACACTTATCATGGACAGGCATCCTCTCTGTAGCAACATATGTATGTGAGTCGTGGACTATCTAGCAGTCATTAGGAAAAAATATAGGAGCTTCTGGGCTGAAACGCCACAGAGAGATTCTCAGATACCATGGAAAAAGAAGATAGGAAATACAGACATTCTAAAAGATCTGAAAATCAAGAAAGACTGGCCACTAAACAGCATCTTGTCTCGGAAATTGAAATATTTTTGCAATATCAAGTGCCACAGTGAACTGGCAAGAACAGTCGCAGACGCCATGGTGCTATTAAGAGGGGCATGGGCCAATCAGCACGGAGATGGGCACAAGATATAAGTGACACTTGGGGTATAAAAGCGCATGAGGTGAGAGATCCGGTGAGAGTCTTTCAGGTAGACTGTGATGAAAGGGGCCATCTGTATGGCATCTGCCTCGAGTGCTGGAGGTCCCGGGTTCACACCCCGGTGAAGGCTGGGATTTTTCCACGTGGACTTCTAGTAATTTCCTCTGGGCTCTGGGTAGTAAGACCGGATGCCCGCTTGTATTGTTACGCACGTAAAAAAAATACCTTGGCGGTTGGAAATCTAAAATAAATAGCCTAATGGCGCTGCCCGGGAACAATTTGGAGTTAAAAATCTACCGAAAGTATTTCCTCACCGGTGCAACATAATTTGTGCACTGCGCTGAGATTCTTCCGACTCAGGCTTAAGTTCAAAGTAGAACAGAGCACTTATAGGTTAAACCATGTGCCATGATGTTGGTCTGTTGAATAAACATCAAAGTGCAGATTTTGAAGAAAAAACAGGGAATGGCTTTCGGTTCTCAGTAATAGAAGCTGCTTGTCCAAGCAGTTTAATTAGTTACTTTCCACAGCTGTGGGTGCGTTAGTTCTCAACTTTATATTTAAAAATTTCAACTCATAACTTTTTAGCTGTAACACAATCACTCTCTCAACAACAAAAATAATAATATATAAATATATATTTATAATATAAAAGAAGTCTGTATTTATATGTAATTATAAACAAACCTGCAGTGAATTGAAAATGGCAAACAGATACTGGAACACCACCGTGTCCTTGCTGACTGAGAGCACACCGAATACCCAGGTGATGCCTAGCAGGGGGGATAATACACAGATGGTTCTAACCACGGACCTGGAAAACGAAATAAATTATTAGGGGAAGTGGGCTAATCGTGTAGTCCAAGGAGTGACAGGTTAGGGATATAACAAAGCAAATTGTTCTGACCAAAGTATTATAAAAACACTGAACAAAAACAAAAAACACAAAAACTACTAGACAAACTAACAAAACAAAATCGAACTCAATAAAAGCTTTTAAAAAAAATTATGAGCAGTGCTGTTACACAAGAAGCTGTAGTAGCAAAGTAGCTAAATGTTCACTTGGTGGTCTGAAGGCCTTGGCTTCGAATCCACAATGAGTCAGATTTTTTAAATAATTCATCTGGGTTGCCAGGACAAGCCAACATAAAATGGGTACCAAGTAATGTCCTGGAAAGTAAAGGTGGCTGGCATGATCCTGACCACATCACCATCTGAGTACCAGGCTGAAAACTCTGGCAGCAAATTCTGGCTGTTCGTCCACTTCTGAACTTTGGTCTTGTACTAGAATCTGAGTGCTGCATGCACATAAATTTTACAAATCTGGCTTGTTTGTTTGTATACAGACTGTTGGTTCCCTGCCTCTCAGGCGAATGCACTCCAAAATCGAAGGAAACATCCCTAATTAGTCTACTCTTACAACATGCGTGTGAACGACAGATGAACTAAAAAAATTTACTTCTGAACTTGAGAAAACATTTACTTCTGAACAACTTGAGAAAACATTTACTTCTGAACAACTTGAAAAAACATTTACTTCTGAACAACAGCAAACCTACTTTGTTCTCTGCTGTGCTGTTTTCACCATCATGAGATTTGAGTGTTGCATGATTCTCAACACTCGGATTAAAATTATCAGGTTTATCTGAAAAGAAAAGTGTTCGCTTACATGTGACCTTCTGAAGCACAATCATGAACGATTAATCTGTAGTGGTCTTGTGAGACTTCCCAGACTATGCCTAACAGAGCTTCCCTCCCAGACTATCTGCCTGTCAGAGCTTCCTTCCCAGACTATGCCTATCAGAGCTTCCCTCCCAGACTATCTGCCTGTCAGAGCTTCCCTCCCAGACTATCTGCCTGTCAGAGCTTCCCTCCCAGACTATCTGCCTGTCAAAGCTTCCTTCCCAGACTATGCCTATCAGAGCTTCCCTTCAAGACTATCTGCCTGTCAGACCTTCCTTCCCAGACTATCTGCCTGTCAGAGTTTCCTTCCCAGACTATCTGCCTGTTAGAGCTTCCTTCCCAGACTATCTGCCTGTCAGAGCTTCCTTCCCAGACCATCTGCCTGTCAGAGCTTCCTTTCCAGACTATCTGCCTTTCATAGCTTCCCTCCCAGACTATCTGCCTCTCATAGCTTTCCTCCCAGACTATCTGCCTGTCAGAGCTTCCTTCCCAGACTCAATCATGAATGATTAATCTGTGGTGGTCTCATGAAACTGGGGCTGAGTTTAATATTTACAAAGGATTGTTTTGTGGAAAATCCATGGGAAACATTCTTTCAGCACAGGAAGTATATGGCACCCTAGTATTGCCATCTTGCTAGGGAGGAGGCAAGGGATGTCCCGAAGGAGTCCATATGCCTGGCACATCCCTCTCCCTAACCAGACAACTGAATAACCCACAGTCATTCAGCCCATAAGCATGTAGATCCACCTTAACTGTTTTTTTTTTTAAATTGTAACTTTTCCCTCTAGAACTGCTGTTTTGTTGTTGTTGCTTATTTGGCGTTCATTATGGTCTTGACAGTAGAATGGTTTCCTAATCAAAGGACATGACGTGAGTGTGCACCTTTCATCCTGTAAGAAAAAAAATACTTATAGGGCTAGATTCAGCTCTCAAGGGGAAACAGCTGGTGGGCTCCACTGCCCATGAGATCCAACATCTACAGTTCTGGATCTCCAAATCCATTTATTGTATTCTGGTGGATAGGGTGTGTCCATGACCTTGCTACAGCACAATGTATATGCTGGCTGCAAAACATATCAAACATGAAAAGAAGGCTCTACGGTTGCACCCTTTAGTTCACAAGTGCAGTTATTACGGAGATCCCTGGTGATCGTCTCCGGAGCTATGGAGTTTGTGCTCTATGCGATGTTCTCGGCAGGGTGCTAGCCGTTCTGTGGAGAGAAACGGAGCCATATGGGATAAAACCCAGTGCAATGAAGTCGACTTTAACCTTTAACCATTTAACATTGAACAGGTTTTAATTATACAACATCTAACAAACATAAATTTTCCAGAGGCATCCAACATCATACCTGAACTGGGAATTTATGTTGTGTAAGCCAAGAAAAGTGATGCAATACGTGAATTAGTGGTCTTCAAATGACATGGTGACCACATATGAAATGCCTTGTTTTTGTCGTTGGTATCTTTCTGTCCCACTGGGTTATAAGGAGGCATGAGAATTACAGCCCATTGTGATCATTAGTATGCCTAGGAATATCAACTCGTTAAGAAGAATCTTCTACAATAAGTGCATGAGGTTTCAGAACCATCTATAGCACCAAGTTTTTGCGGAGACCATGTGTTGCCCATGCAAAACAATCGCTCTCTAGGCCTGCCTTGTTAACTCCCCAATTTCAGTAACACTAAAGTGTTTGGAATCAAGCTTGCTCACAAGCTGCTAGATCCGAACAGCAGTGCTCTGCCTATCTGCCTGTCAGAGCTTTCTTTCCAGACTGCCAGCCAAGGCTAAGGGCCTGGTCTATCCAACCATAACATTAAGTTTCAGGCTTTTCAAGCTGCATTTTCTCTTCCCAAGAGGTCAGTATCCTCCTATATGCACTCATCAGCTTGAAGCTGTCAGCACAAGTGGGATGTCAGCTTTGTGTTGAATACATATGGCAACTAGGTAACTGGGAGTCACCATGATGTAGCGGCTAGACACTCTCCTACGGATCGGAAGGTCGTAGGTTCAGGTCCAGACTTTTTTCTTTCAAAAATGACCTGGACTCTCAGTTCAACAAAGCCTTGAATGGGTATCAGGTGCAGTCCCGGGAAGTAAAGGCGGCCTAAGTGATGCTGACCAAATCACCCACCAAGTGTCATTTGGTCTATAAAATATAAGTCTAGCCTTATATGCACTAAAGGCATGAAAATTTTTCCCTTTTTTAAAATTTTATTTTAACAAGATAATCATGGTTCAAACTTCATAGCAAAGGGATCATCACACAGTTACTCTGTTCTCGTGCCAATGAAAACCAAAGACTGTCCTTTGCGGGAAAAACTGATATAAGCTACAATTCAATAGCATAAACACACATTAAATGCATAAAGCAGCTATCATAATTGTTAATACAAATAGTCCGACACCAGAAATGCAGTTCATCCTTGAAGGAAGCAGCAATTTCACTAAATCAGTAGTTGCACATGTGATTAAACACACAAGGCACCACCAGTTATATGGCAATGGGCCACTCACAACATAAACCTCATGGTCACAGTCAAAAATCATTCTAAATGAAATGTGCAGCTCAGTGTCGCACAATGCACTCAACTCAGTAGCTGTGTAACAAAACTATATCCTTACAGTCTATATATGGACGAAAATGCAACAGCTATTGTCAGAAGCAAATATGTGTGATGACTAAGTACAGTAAACACACCTATCCTCCATACTGACAGGAAGACAATATGGCAGGCATTTGAGAAACTTAGTAAATAATGAAAGAAACAGTAATAAAAGGTACCTACCACTATGACTAAGAGAGCAGGAGCCACAAATGCCCAGATGAGTCCATCGTCAACTGACAGCCAACATCTAGAGGATCATTCAACAAAAGGATTCAGGAATGGACAGTCAAACTAAAGCACCCTTTTCAGAGGCTCCTTTGGCACATCACATATATGAGTCTAAACCAGTGGCTCTCAACCCTCCTAATGCCGGGACCCTTTAATACAGTTCCTTGTGTTGTGGCCACCCTTTAATACAGTTCCTTGTGTTGTGGCGACACTTTAATTAAGTTCTGTGTGTTGTGGCGACCCTTTAATACAGTTCCTTTTTGTTGTGGCGACCCTTCAATACAGTTCCTTGTGTTGTGGCGAACCTTTAATACAGTTCCTTGTGTTGTGGCCACCCTTTAATACAGTTCCTTGTGTTGTGGCGACCCTTTAATTAAGTTCTGTGTGTTGTGGCGACCCTTTAATACAGTTCCTTTTTGTTGTGGCGACCCTTCAATACAGTTCCTTGTGTTGTGGCGAACCTTTAATACAGTTCCTTGTGTTGTGGCAACCCTTTAATACAGTTCCTTGTGTTGTGGCGACCCTTTAATTAAGTTCCGTGTGTTGTGGCGACCCTTTAATACAGTTCCTTTTTGTTGTGGCGACCCTTCAATACAGTTCCTTGTGTTGTGGCGACCCTTTAATACAGTTCCTTGTGTTGTGGCGACCCTTTAATTAAGTTCCGTGTGTTGTGGCGACCCTTTAATACAGCTCCTCCTGTTGAGGCAACCCTTTAATACAGTTCCTCGTGCTGTGGCGACCCCGAACCATACAATTATTTTTGTTGCTTCTTCATGACTTCAGTGAATATATGTACTCCAATGGTCTAAGGTGACCCCTGTGAAAGGAGTCTTTGGACCCAAAAAAGGGTTGTGTGACCCACAGGTTGAGATCCGCTGTTCTAGACTCATATTTTACAGATTACTTGGCCCTCGGTGGGTGATCTTGACAACATCATGCCGGCCAGATTGACTTCCCAGTACATACCTACTACCCATTTTAGGTTGGGTCAATCTGGGAGCCAAAGTTTACCTTTTCTTTTAAAAATCTGAATTGATGTGGGTTCGAGTCCAAGACTTTTGGACCAGCAAGTGTCTAAATGTCAATGGCAATATAGGAAATAATTATAAACCTACTGGCTTGGTGGTCATAGGTTCAAATCCTAACTTCCCTGTGTGGGTTTCCGGGGGCAGATCTGTAAAAGGGATGTGATAGCGAAGTTCTAAAACAAGACTTTAGTCCAGAAGTGGACAAACAACCAGAATTTTCTAGATGGTGAATGCGAAGCAAAAGAAGATGAAATTCTGTTTGAAGGGAATTTTGAGAAGCTGACCTGGGTTCCCCATGTTGATCACGTCTGTAAGCACAGTATGAAAGAACAGCTGTATTAGAAATGACTGGCATGACACAAAACATGAGGTTGTGAGCAGAATATTGATACACCATAGGACAAGGACTGCCAGAAGAGACCAGGTTCAGCTGCAATGAATTTTCATGACCTAAATTCACCAGAATTTTTGTAGTGCTTCCCCCCCCCCCCTCCATCTCTCTCTCTCCCCCTAACCCTTCTCTCGCTTTCTGATGTACCCTGTGATTCTGCCATAAGTTTTGTCCTGTGCAGGAACCAACAAATTGTTAAATGAATACTTTATTACTGATTGCTTTGATGTTAAGGCTTTTGTGGCTATTTCAAAGTTTGTTAACATTTTTCATATTTATGTTGTTTTCAATTACCGAAAAATGCAAATATCACAGCTATAAATTGTATGTCACTCGGATGAACCACGGAGAAGTAGTGTTCAATCACAATAATCACGTGCTGTCTCCACAGTGAAGGTTTATGGATCTCCAGCATAATCTATCTCTTGATATGGGTGTCCACTATCTCAGACAGCTGTTTGTCTCTTGATATTGTTCTCCAACTTGTATCTCACGCTATTTATTCAATCTTGCTTTTTGCTGTTGACGTTTTCTTCCAATATGATTTTTTAAAATGTAAATAGTACTACGTTCTTTTGTCCTTGTGTGGCCTAAATATTATAAATGTCTCTCTTCTATTTCTGTCAGCAATACTGTTTTGATAAGTGTATAGAAAAAGTATAGTTATGGGTACATAATCTCTGCTTGCCAGCCTGTAGGTCATGGGTTCAGACCGGCATCAAGTTTTTTTTTTTTTTTAATGACCTTGGTTCCCAGACTGATCCAAGAGACAGAACAATAGAAAGTAGAGGTAATTAGATAGATATGTATGTTGGTTGTGTGGAGAGGTGTGTAGAGAGACAGGCGGTCAGACAGACAGACAGACCAACTAAGATACAGAACAATAGAAAGTAGAGGTAATTAGTTAAATATGTATGTTGGTTGTGTGGAGATGGTGGGTAGGTGTGTAGAGAGACAGGTGGTCAGACAGACAGACCAACTAAGAGAGAGAACAACAGTAGGGTGACAGACAGATCAACATACAGATGGAGCAATAGACAGAAAAGGTATTTAGGTTGGTAATATGTAGGTTTATGGATAGACAGACATTCAGACAACAAGCCTACGAAGGCTCAGGTGGCTGGCTCACACCTGGAGAATGGAGGATGACAGTCCCTAAGGACATCCTCTACTGTGATATAAAGACATGTGCAAGCAGGACATGAATGATACAGGTACTGAGGTGGATTCGTGGGAACAAAATGCCATGGATCATGTTGTGTGGAGGGGGCACATCAGGAAGAGAATGAGAATGAAGGAAGAAATGATTGCATAAAGGATGATAGCTGAGCTTCTGAGAAGAAACAGACTAAACTCAAATGTTGACAACGGTCCTGATATCCCATGCTATAATTGTGGAAGATTTTTCTTAACCCGGACGGGTCTTGCTAGTCATACTTGCCATCGACATGGGCTGTGAGTCCCATGTCTCCTCGTAGGGCAATATACCACTTTTGTCTGGACAGATAGGTGCCAATCATGAGACAACAAGCAAACAGTCAAAAATACAGATTGATAAAGAGGGCAGGAAGCCCTACAGATAAACATAACCACACATCTTGCCCTTTCTCTGAGTCTTGCGTGGTGCCCAGAGCCCACAGATTCTCTGCGCTGCTACAGTATTCTATAAACACCTCAAATAGGTACCAGGTCAAGTCCTGGGAAGTAAAGGCAGATCACATCACCTACCAAGTGCCGATTCGTCTAAAAAAAAAAATACAGGTCTAGCCCTATATGCCCAATACATCTGAAGGTGTGGAAAAGTCTCCTTTACGTATTTTATTTTTATTACTCACCACAAACTGATTAAAGAAACTGTCGATAACATAAGTACTAACAAAAATTTTGGACTCAAAAAAAAAGTGCTGGCACTGTGTACTGCCATAAAAAGGCTGACTCACCATATGAAATTAAAAGTAGCTGACGTATTATGGAATCTGAAGTAAATACAAAAGTCACTGATTTGAAAACTTCGATGCCTTCACATAGCATTGTAAAAAACACGACCAGGAACAGGAAGTGAAGTAGTGCCGCAACAACTTTGCAGCCGACCTGGAAAACAGCAAAAAAACAATATATATTTTCAGATTTGAAAAGAAACACTGTTGGGTTCTGTATAATTCTTCTTCTTCTGCTTGTTGTCTCCTCAGAGGCTGCATGGACCCCACTGTTGTACTGGTTTGAAAACAGATCCATGCCGTAGCTGGGGGACTAAACCCGTACCTCTGGATAGTAGTGATCAGTCCTTTACTGCCATAGCTGCATTTGTTTCAATATATTGTATAATTCGTATAAATATTTAGTTGTTTTTTTTTTTCTTTCAATTTTTTTCTATTACTTAATTTAAAACTTTGGCAATTACTAATGAATTGCAGACAAGGATTAACTGGTGCCTGTGCATAGACAAGTGAACTTAGAGAAGGAAATTAGAAAAGCTGTCAATCTTCTCAAGGAAGGAAAGGCGGCAGGTCCAGATGGTATCCCTGCTAAAGCCATTAGGGCCAACATAAACGCATCAACAGAATTGCTACATAGATTATTCAGTAAAGTCTGAGAGACCGAAAAAAATACCAGTAGACTGGAGAAAAGGATATCTTGTGAAATGCCCAAAAAGGTGATCTACAGGAGTGTGAAAACTATAGAGGAATTATGTTGCTGTCAGTTCCTGGAAAAAATGTTAAGTAGAAATATTTTGGAAAGATTTAAAGATGCCACTGATAAAAAGCTAAGAGATGAACAGGCAGTTTTCGGTCAAACAGATCCTGTACTGACCAGTTAGCCACATTACATATTATAATAGAGCAAAGCACTGAACTGAACTCACCACTTAACATTGGATTTATTTATAGACTATGACAGCACTGACAGAGAATCTCTCTGGAAATTGATTGGCCGCTATGGAATCCCACAGAAAATTATTAACTTAGTAAAGGCAACATATAAAGACATGAAATGTCGAGTTCTTCATGAAAGAAAGCTAACAGATGCATTTGAAATAAAAACAGGTTTGCGACAGGGATGTGTTTTGACGCCTCTCCTATTTTTACTGGCTGTAGACTGGATTATGAAAACAGTAACTGCTAACACCAAGAATGGAAATCAATGGACTACAAAACAGCTTGATGATCTGGACTTTGCTGATGATATTTATCTTCTGTCCCATTCACGGAATCAGATGCAAGATAAATATACTTCATGCGAGATCACAGCAGCTTGGTCTGAAAATCCATAAAGGAAAGACAAAGATAATGAGAATAAATCAGGCAAATAGTAATGTGGTTTCTCTTAATGGCACCCCACTCCAAGACGTGGAGTTGTACACCTATTTGAGCAGTAATGTAGATAAAGATGGAGGAAATGATAGAGATATTAAAAAAAGAATACAAAAAGCATGAGGAGCTTTCATAGCACTAGGGAATTTATGGAGGTCAAAAGAAATTAAAAGAAATACTAAACAAACAATTTTTAATTCTAATGTCAAATCAGTACTTTAGTATGGGGCAGAAACATGGAGAAAAACTAAGGCAATTACTAATGAATTGCAGACAAGTATTAACTGGTGCCTGCGCAGAATAGAGGGAATTAAATAGTATGATAAAATAACTAATGTAGATCTTTGGAAAAGAACTAAACAGGCTCCAGTGGACCAAGAGGTGAAGAGAAGATGCTGGCATTGGATAGGACACACACTGAGAAAACAGGAGAACAGCATAACCAGAATGTCTTTGAATTGTAACCCACAGGGGCAAAGAAATAAAGGAAGGCCAAAAAACACATGGAGAAGAGAGCTGGAGAATGAAGTTAGAAAGATGGGGATGGGAAGAGCTCCATGTAATGGCCGAGGATAGAATGCCTTGGTATGAGGTGGTTGAGGGCTATGCTTCATTGGGGGAATAGAAAGGCAGAAGAAGAAGACAAGAAAACACTGCCATGAGTCTGGCTGACGTACCTCGCTGTCAGTTCTGTGCACACCTAGCAGGAAGACAACATAAGCCAGGATAAGGCACACGCTCAAGTTGACATGCAGAACTGCTCGATCACATTTCACATACCTGCAGGAGATAGCAGAATACAAGAAAATATTCATCCTTACTAAGATTCCCAAAGTCATGAAGGTAATCTATGCAGTGCTGACCACAACCTCAAATAAGACAGTATACAAACTACTCCTCAAGAAATTAAAGTTTGTTGTTTTTTTCTTCTTTCCCCTCCAAATTTAAAAATTGCCGGTCTAACAGACATGCATCACATCACCATACTGGACTTTCATTCACTCCTTCACTTATTTGAAAAAAACAAAAACAGATAACAGAACACTGAGCGTCATCAGTGCCAACTTGTTTACAGTAACCTGTTTATGAGACGCACAGGTAATAATATTTGGCTGTTTTCGCACCCATTTCAACATTGAAGAAATGAATACAACTAACAACAGCTTGGTCTGGGGGATGTGGGGGGGGGGGGGGGGGGGGGGTAGCTTTGAAGTAAATAGCTTCTTCAAAGCCAAGTTTACATTAGTCTCTTGTAAGCCCCAGTAATCTAGGTCACATGGTCAGTATATCTGTCACCCGATACATGTGCTTTTTTTTTTACACAGATGTATTCCACTTGACGCTTCACCCTGTTTGCATTTACTGATTACTTTGTTCATGTACTTTTATTAAATTCAAACATAATTTAAAACTCTAGATAAATACATTGTTAAATAATTTATTAATGACCTGTGTAAAATTGTTGCTTTGTTCCCCGATTCTTGACACCGTAACTACAGCTTTCAATGCTTATGTAGTATAGTGTGTCCTTCTAAATGTCTACTTCCATCAATGAGTGCCAGTCAATACATTATTTGTTTGTTGATTACATATAATGGTTTTTTTTGGCTATCTTCCAAATAACAGTCCCAAATTATGGATGCAGAAAATATACCCTAACACGGCCTCAGTCATGTGTCAATTGCGCACTTCCGGCCACTTTAATTGCGCACTTCCGGCAACTTCTACCACCGCCAAGTGTATCCCACACTTGGCGCGGATTGGGGCTAAACTAGATGGCTGGAACTCATGAGCAGCAGCTACCGTATTTCTTGCAGCTGCCTTTATTTTATTTGCTCGTAGAAATAACTTGGAGGTGACAGAGATTTGGTTTTTCAATGTTACAAATCCCTTGGACTGCCAGAGTAACTAATGAGGATTGAAGGAAGCTAATGAAAGCAGGATTAATGTATACAGCCAAAAGGAAAAGACAAGCGCTGTTCTCTGGTAAATGATGAGGTACAAGGTTTTGAAGAATATTATGATGACTGGAAAGATCAACAGCAGAAGAGGCAGAGGCAGACTGAGAGAGATGATGACGGATAAACTGCCACAGTGGCACAGAGGGAAATCATCGGTGGAACCGATCCAGAGGACAAAGGACAGAGATTTGTGGAGATGCATGAACACCTACACCAACCAGCAGTGCAGGTGATGATAAGGATGAAGACCTCGTTTTAGAAAAGACTACTTTCTCTGTAAGGAAATTATTGTATGAGTGCAAACTACTACATTACAATGTCAAAATGTTACACAACATTTATTATAATCTTATAGAGAAGGAGCAGCAAGTTAAGAAAAAGAAGACAAAGAAGTAGAAGAAGAAGAAACAGGAAGTGAAGAAAAAGAAAACAAAGAAGTCGAAGAAGATGAAACAGGAAGTGAAGAAAAAGAAGACAAAGAAGTCCAAGGAGAAGAAACAGCAGATCAAAACTCACTTCCACAGTATTATGTAGATAATGACAGTGATGACCAAACACAGCATGGACAGCCCACAACCGACAGCGGAGATGATACTAAGCACTTCTTCATCAGTACTGCTGATCTGGAATAACACATGGTAAACACAGCAATCATTCGATTGGTACAGTACATTGTAGAATACAAGCTTACAAAAGTCATAGTTGTAGTCGAGGTTTCAATTTCACTGCCTTCTGGTCACCCCATACTTGCTTCGTTCCTGTGCCAATAAAATTCAAATGAAATGTCCCTCATTGTCGCATTTGAAAAACTGATGAACATTTAGTCCTAGCACAATCCAGAAATATCTGCACGCAGTAAATGCATAAGGCAGTTGCTAGCGGCACCAAAACCAACCGTTGCCACCAGAAATGCAGTTTTTCTTTGTATAAAGAGTCAGTCACGATGAACTGCCCACATATAAAAAATTATTGGATAAGATATTTCACCAGCACACATGTAAACCGGCTACCCGTCATGCTGAATACCACGACACAACTACTGGACGAATGAAAGGCATTCCACATGAAAACACCGCTCACAGTGCTGCATCAAGCATTTAACTCAGTAGCTCAGGCAGCCAAACAGTACACTTGTGTCCATATGTAGAAACTGCATTAGCAAAGCGCTGTCAGAAGCAAAAATAACTTTGAAGCTAAACATTATGTCGTGCCTATCCTTCATATTGAGCTGGAAGTCTGGATTGAACATTCAACAGCTGTCTCTACAGATGACTAGTATGGACTTTCTACTCAAGTTCCAAATGGTAGTGTGAAATATCAAATGAGACTGCTTCAAATGAAAACCTTAAAAGTGTGAAAGAAATTACAATAACCATGCCATTGTCCGTGTAACCTGTCAGTATTTTTTGTTAAGGATGCCAAGAGTGCTAAGCACGGGGCATTATAGTACAGATGGACACAGTGACATCACAATCAGTTTAACAATAGCCGCCCCACTTCAGACATACAACATATCATCATCATCATCATCCTACTGTGCTGCTATAAGTCACACTCTTGTCCTCCATTCCATTCTATTCTGTACAATCCATTTGAGTATCACGGGCTGAATCCATGCATTACCTTCAGCCTCTCACAACAATACTCATCATAGGGTTTCTCTTAAACGTCCTTGTCTTCTCAATGTTTTTCTCATTTCAGTGCCTGTTTGTTGATTCTCCTTGTGATGTGTCCAGTATACTGTCATCTTCTTTGTCTTTTAACTGCCAGTATCAGCAATCATCCAGAGATTGCTCTTGTTTCTTTGCTGTTCTTGAATTAAAGTTCACAGTTCAAGTTATGGGGATAGTCTCTCTCCACAAAATGGCTAGCCGTCTGTTGAGAACATCACACAAAACATCAACTCTATAGCTCTGGTGATGATCCCCAGAGATCTACTTAAAAACTTCACCTGTGAACTAAACGACGCAGCTGTGAAATGAACCCATGACCTATGGAGATAAACAGCTGGAATGTTCAAGAAATTCCTCAAGTATTTGTTTTTGAATGCATTTAACTATATATTTAACTGTAAACAGTAGTTCTCCATTTTTCACTGGCATAGTTAAGATTGAAACAACATTAGAATTAAGAATATGTAACTAGGTTGTAAAACTGTCATTATTTTGCGACATACAAGTCAAGTTTTCAAGACTAAAATAGTCTTTCTAAGTGAATGAGTGAGACTGAATCCCACTAGGACAGAACACTGAGCGATTAACACTGTGTGACACGACGATGAGAATCCCCCCAGGTACAAATCCTAAAAGCCCTGTTTAACCCTAAGGATTATATGAAGACCCCTCATGGTTACAAGGTAAAAACTTGAGCTAAGACAGGGTAGGGTAGTTATATATAACTTGATCATACACATGCCAGTTAAGAGACTGAGTACCTACACTGCTGCCAAAGGGACTCATGAGCACAGCAAAGTTGGTGAGATGGTTGCAGGAGCACTTGACTCTGTCACTGAAAACTTCAGCAGTGCAACCTTTTGTTGCCCAAACACCTGAAACACTGAAACCAAAAGCAAGGTTTAAATTGTTGCACAAAGTATTGGCTGTGAGGTTCTGCGACTTAGGTTAGTGAAATTATTTCACAATGCAAAACCCAACACTGCCCAGGGTTCGATTCCTGCTGTGGGTGGTTTGTTATCGTGGCATTCAGATTGTTGTGACAGAGTTCAGTCCCGTGGCAGAAGAGAGAGTGGCCTCACAAAGTAATGTTCTCATTGTCAGCAGTGGATATACTGCAGCCAAGCTTTATCATGGAGATGGCGCACAATATTGTTTTTAAAGAATTGTACAATAAACTACACTTGGAAAAAAAAAAGGACTAAAATATTACAAAGAAACACCATGTAACTCAGTAACTCAGTACATCATTAACATCGGCAGCATCATCATCAGATGGCTATCAGTGACAAATAACAAAAGTGATTTGAAAGTAAAAAGGGGAAGACTGTCAGATCCCTGTTTGTACAGTCATGGGGCGGTACACACCATATAGATGGTGTACTGTGTGTGACGGAGAGTTGACGGACAGGTCAGCACGGTGGGATCCTGACTGTCCATGTATGTGCTGGGATGGCAGATGGAAAATACAATTCAGCCGATACAGTTGTGACGGCGATAAAGCGTGGCTGAACTGAACGATCTACTGGCTGGTCCACGATTTCTACATGGTCCCGACTGACCTACGGATGGTGACAAAAAGCTACGAGGTGTTGAGACAAGGGTATTCGGACAGCGGACAGGAGACGATATAGTTGGACGAAGTACAATCTTAGCGTATTATAGTAATATTCTAGTGACCGAATCGATTGTGGTAATGTGTTTCGTTAGGATAGCATAGCTTCTCTGTGTTGTGTAGCATCCGACAGTGACAGGTGTTTTATCATAATGTATTATGTAAGTAGTGCTGAAGTATTCGGATAAATAGGGTTGGTTTTGGAATGGTTGTTGTGATGTAATCTATCCTTGCATATTGGCGCTACACTTTGCGGACACTGCACGATCATGGTGGAGTCCAGGCGCACTAAAATAGGAGCTTTGTGGGAGCATTGTGGGTTTGAACCTGAGGATTATCCACGGGGATGGGAGGCATGCCTGTTGATTTGTAAAGCCAGCACGACCAGGCGTCTCGGATAAGGGTGCCTACATCTTTCAACATCAACTATTATGTTGTTCTGTTATTATTCATTAAAGATTTTTGTGTGTGCTCCGGGGGTGTTCGATTTAGTGTGTTTTTTGATGAACTGTGTGTCACAAGCCCATATGA